CCCCCCCCCGGGGTATGGCGGTGAACGAGGTAGATGAGGTCCCTGTTCCGATGACCCCTCTAAAGAGGAGACAGACACAGGTAATGAAGAAAAAAATAAGTAACACCATTCAGAGCCCTCCGTGGCTTTTAAAGGAATTAAAGAGGGTGATACGATGGTGAATGCCGAGGGACACCACTCTAGGCGGGATGGGAGGTGGGGCCCTTGGTCTCAGGAAGTGAAATCAGACCTGATGCCTGGTTGGTGAGAAAGGGCTGCTCTGCCCAGAGCCTACAGCTAAGCGTGTCGGTAGAGGACACGATAGATGCAAGGGTAATACAAGATGGCAGACAGCTTAGCGCCCTGAAGAACGAGAAACAAGGTGGTGTAGGGCGGAAGCTTGGGGACCGAGGGAAAGAATGGCTTGGAAGACAGCCAGTTAGAAGGGGGAGCGAGGTCAGACCATCCATGACCGGGCTTTTGTACTAACTGCACGCTGAGTAAATGGAAGCGCACCTCTCTCCAAACTTCATCCATCAAAATCCGACGCTAACGAGAGACAGATACCTCTAGCAGCCCGTGACATGAATTTGCAAATTTATTCTCCAAATGAGACTGCCTTTTATTGACTGTTACAAACGCACCATGAGTAGTGGATTCATTCTAACAAAGGGCACACCCATTTCTCACCACAGATAACATCAGTTTCACAGAGAACGGGGGCTCATCTATTTTATGAACACTTGTCTCTTTTTCTCACCGTCTGGACTTCTTTCGGACACACGAGGCCCTACACACACACACACACACACACACACACACACACACACACACACACTCTACTACGGCACTAACCCAAATTCCGTTCTCCCCGCCTGCCCCCAGTTTTCCAGGCACACCTCAGCACCCACCTCTTCCCACAAAGACTTCTCATGTCCTTCAGCCCTCCTCGTCTGTCTCTTCTCCTGCCCTGAACTCAGGGGTGGAGACAGACAGACACATACACAAACACAGGCTGCCCTACACAATCCGACTCCTACTCACTATATTCTGTTGAATCGTTGTTGACTGTTGCCTCTTGTGTGTGGACTTTGTCTTACGGATTGTGGGCCCCTACAAGACTATGCATTAAACGAAGCCCGACCTAGGATTTCAGGCAATATCGGGCTGGTGACACGCCAGAAGTGAGGGCACATCCTCAACCTTATTTCCAAGTGCACCGCCGCGATGAAACTCTCTGCTCTGACCTCGTCAGGGATACCTAGCCAGCTAATCCTCGGTGAATGGAGACGATCACGAAAGGAACAGTGTAGATTTCCGAAATGCCTCCGTTGTCCAGAAGTCTCATTCTGGCCAAGAGTGTGGGCCTCTCCTCACCGAACACTGTAATGTAACACAAAGCAACCTTGACAGGTTTCCATTTCATTTTCTCTTTTTCAAAACCTGTTCTGGCCACCTGTGGTATCGTTTGCGAAATGAAATAATGTTAATGTGGCCAAGAGGTGGGCTGGAGGAAGGAAATGCACAGGAAATGGGTAACCCACAAATGGGATAACCATCCTGGAGTGGAGGGATGCTGCCTGAAATTGTAATTATGAAAATTGAAGAAAACCAGCCGTCTATGGAAAACATGTGTGTTAAAAGTGAAGCAATTAGGTTTCTTTCTTCCACCTCTGCTTCCGTTGAATCTGACTTTAACAGATTAAATATTTTTGTGCCACCTTTTCTTCTTTTCATCTGCCAACATGGAAGGGGAGGGAGAGGAAATATCCAATTGATACTTTCATTTGGATAATCTAATACAGCAAGGAGCCAAAACGTCAAAGGAAAAAATAAATCAGAGCCTGGAGTGTTTCTTGCAAATGAGTAATTATGTCAGAGGACCCTTAAATCAGAACCCTAAATTCTGAATGGGATCCTTAGATTTTTAACACATGTTCATATATATATACATACATACATACATATATATATATATATATATATATATATATAACATTTATTAATTTTTGAGAGACAGAGAGAGAGCATGAATGGGAGAGGGGCAGAGAGAGAGGGAGACACAGAATCCGAAGCGGGCTCCAGGCTCTGAGCTGTCAGCACAGAGCCCGACGCGGGGCTCAAACTCACGGACCATGATGAGATCATGACCTGAGCTGAAGTCGGATGCTTAACAGGCTGAGCCACCCAGGAGCCCCTTTAACACATATTTTAAGTGTTCCAGACTTCCAAACATGTTTCTGATATGGTTGCTTCATACAACCAAGGTATCCAAAGAGCAAAGACTGGAAAATGTTGATGCGAGTCAACAATGACCAAAGATGAGAATTAATCACTTCCTTAACCGCCTTGTTGAGACGGTCTTTGAATCGGTCTCTCCTTGATGTGAATCTGTGTTACGGCATCGCCCAAAGGCAAAAGGGACTTAGAATAGCCATGATTTCCTCATAGTCAATCACATTGAGATCTCTGCCAGAGCTGAACCTAAAGACTGGTTTTTGAAATTGTGTTACCACACATGCAGTCCATAGACCAGTATTCACAAAAGAGGCCAGTCAGACCCTTCTAGCTATCCGAAGTTGATGAAAACCACATTACGTACGCAGTGTGTGCAACATGGATTATTTATAGTAAACGTATGCACCTTCAGTTCTGAATAATGTACTGCCTTTCCATGATGGTCTATGCACAGGTGACTCAACATTTAGACACAACACAAAAGGGAACATACCTGCAGAAACAATGATTGCCACCTGTGTCTCCCACTTCCTCATCCATAAAAGCTTTTATTCTTTTCAGGAATGAAATTTTAAAGAGTTTGCTCTGTGAGTTTCTAGAAATGGCCTTTTCCACACCAGGGTTATGAGCCATTCTGCTTATAAACCACTCTGCGTGTGTCTGCTTTTCTTGTGTCCTCATAAACACATCACAGTGTTTGCTCATCGAAAGAACAGTTTATCCTGAAAATAAACACCTTTGCTATGTTCTCACCATTGTTTGGGGG